TTTCAAATATAGAAATCTAATAGGAGCACTCTTGTATATTAGTCATGGTACTAGACCAGACATATCTTTCAGCATAAATTATTTAAGTAGATTTTAAAATTGTTATGATGAGACACATTTCAAATATGCTTTGAGAGTTTTAAAGTATTTGTACTTAACAAAACATCTAAAATTAACCTATAGTAAAAATCTTAAAACTGATATTATGAATTGTTATTTTGATGCTGATTGGGCAGGTTATATTGTTGACAGAAAGTCAACAACTGGGTTTGTTATTAAATTATTTGGTAATCCAATTTACTGGAAATCCAAAAAGCGAAATTGTGTGACAAAATCTTCCACTTTGCCGAATATATTGCTCTATCTGAGGCTGTGACAGAAATTAATTTCTTAAAAATGTTGTGAATGATGTTTTTGCTGATATAACTCACCCCATTAAAATTTATGAAGATAATTTAGGAGCTTTGGCCATTGCTAATTATGGGAACTTCACTAAAAATTCAAAATACATAGAAGTTCAATATCATTATGTTCACGAAAATGTTCAAAATGGAGTAATTAAAATTATAAAGATTGATTCAGAATCAAATATTGCAGATATCTTTAATAAGTCTTTAGGAAAGATTAAATTTATGAAATTCAGAGAAGGTTTGAAATTGAAATAAATTTTGTATACTGTTTATTTAAGTGATGTTTATTTGGTACTTACGTATTAACGCAACCAGGCCAAAATTCGCATAAATCGCCAAATTTGGCGACCCTACTTACGACAACCCTACGTGTCACACGTAGGTTTTCGTAAAGAAATTATTTTTCTTACTGGTTAGATTTAATGCCCTGAAATACTTTAACTATGGGTATTTGGGATCTGCCTGCGAGTGAAAAAGATGCTGTTGAATTGTTGCAGGGATATGGAATTATACCGAACAAACGTACTTGTAAAAATCATCTTGACTCATACCTTATCGAATTTATATGGCGCCAAGCTCAAGCTGTTAATGGCGAAGACGGTTTTCAACCAGTGCTAAAAGCAATAGCCAAAAGATTTCCGCCGAAAAAATAATTCTGCAACTTATTCAAATTCAAAATCAGAAGGGTTTAATTGCTATTTTATATTTTAAAACAAAATAATATAAAAAACTGTATTAAAAATTATAAATAAATTGTAAATAAATGTACATTTTCCTTCTATTCATACTTTTTTAATCAAACTTACAAATCGCGCCAACCTGGTTGCGATAATATGTAAGTACCGTTTATTTAAATATTTTTGCTTGAAATGAAATAGATTTTGGTAATGTCCTTATGTAAACTAAATTGTGTTTAACTTTGATTTCAACATTTAAGTTAATGAAAGAAACTTTTTTTTAAAAAATAATTTTTGTTAAGTTTTGAATGTTATTGCTTATATCTATGCTTAATTGTAAATGGTAAAGATGAAAATGTTGTTTATATCTATGTTTATTTGTAATTAGTAAATATAAATGTAAGGAGGCATGTTAGTTTGGTACATTTATATTTACAATGTTGGCAACACCAAGTTTCTCTTCTCTGCGTGCGAGCTATGGATGCCGTTGTAATGTTGTGCACGTGTTGTTAAGTTTCAATAAAAAATGTGAAAAGATACGTTTCTTATTTTTCAACTTGCTTCTTGATATGATATCAGTTTATTTAACAGATAATATTCAGCCCTTGATTAGATAATTAACTTGTTGCAATCGTTTGTGAGGTTGAGACCTTGCCAACCAAAGATCTGCATCTCAGTGTTTGCCATCAAAGTCTCAGCTCGAATTAATACTCGAATGCAAGTTTTGGTCTTATCTGTTCCGTGCACTCTCCAAGTTTTTCACCAAACTGATTGTGCAACTTTTGGTCTCGTTCATTCGCTTTCCCAACGCTGTTGTAAGTTCAGGTTGGAATCCTAATATTCCTCTTTTCTGCTTCACAGAGTGGAATGCAACCCTATGTTCTATGGTAATTATTGCTCATCATGAGTATTATCACCCCTCTTAATTTGTAAAAACAATATAGAATCACCCTGTATAAAATGACCATGTTATTTAATTTTTAAGTTTAGAGATCATATTCAGGGATTGAATTTGTATCTAATTAAATATAACACATCAATTTAGAAAAAGGTTTTTGATATTAATCGATTAAGTAATGAGCACTGTTAGCAGAAAGTCATGAAATGTATCGACTGCTATAAATGTTTTTCAAAAAGATCTAAATCCCTCAATCTTACAGAATTTGTGTTCTAGATAACAATGGCAAGCTTCAGAACTGGCATAGAGTCGACATTATTTGAATAATTTAAAAATTAAAAATATTTCTACTTTAATGAATTTTTTACAATTATTAGATTATGATTCAAAAGTAATGAAAGTGCAAGAGAATAATAACTATGTATTTTAAGCATTTAAAAACTTATAAATTATTACTTCCATGAAAACATTTTTGACATACGGTATAGAATAAAATTACTTAAAGAACATCACTAAATGACACCAAAGGGGAAAAAATTAGCCTCCAGTTATTATCATTTATTTTTTAACTTATCTCTCAAGAAAAGCAAAAAGATAATAAAGCCTCAAATTTTGGAATTAAATCTCTCAGTCAATTTTTTCTGTATAGAAGAGACTAGACTTCATTATGATAAACTTTTATTAAATATAACTACCGTGACCTGGGGACAATATGTAAAGTTAGATGGCAAACACGAACATTCACATCAAATAAACATTTTGTAACAAAAATGGCCATAATCAAGGGTTGCAAAAAAAAAAAAAGGTATGGATTTTACAGATGCATATAAAATATAAGAACAAATGCAAATGATTTTCCTGGCAGATTACTTGCAGAAAAACGAACAACCAAACAAGTGTGTGTGTGTGTATGATTATGGCAAAGACTTGAGGGCTATCTGCTTAAGGAGAGGGATGCCTTTGTGGAGGACTTTCTAAGGGGAACTGGCTCGTATACACGTTACACATGGAGAAAACCATGAAAACACCCATGCAGCCAGCCCGTCTATGGGATTCGAACCTCGGACCGAACTACCAGTGTTCAGCGACTTTACCGCTCGGCCGCTCGTGGGCCCAACAACCAAACAAGACTTTTCTGCATGCAAAATTTTTTTAAATACTACTGAATCTAATAAAATAACCATGAAAACTAAAATGAACCAAATTTTAAGAAATACTGGCTTTTCCCTTAATCAGATAAGGGTGGGTGGTGCTTACCACAGTACTAATCCTTGATCCACGGTCACGTTATTGGACATTTTTTATTTTTTATTGTGTCCTTATATACTAAATTATAATTAAGAATAATACAGGCAACAGTTTTCTAATGTTGTTACTAAATTTATTTGTCTTCTATTATATTTTTGCTTGATTTAGTTGCGAAATCACACTATGATTATCTGCCTAAGGGGAGGGATCCCTTTGTGGAGGACTTCCTAAGGGATACTAGCTCGTATACAAATTACACATGGAGAAAACCACCAAAAATGGCCATGCAGCCAGCCTGTTCACCCGGAATCGAACTTAGGTCAGAACTAGCACTGTTCAGTGATTTCACCACTCAGCCGCTGGGGGCCCTGTCTTCCATTATAGAACATAACACATTCACTAACTTGATATGTCTGGTAAGAAATTAAACTTTCATCAGCTGATTTTGACTAGTAATTTTTTTCTAAATACAGTCAAAAGTCTTTAATCCGGACTCGTCGGGACTTCGGCGATTCCGGATTATAGATCATCAGTTTAAATCTGGTAAGATAGCATGCAGAAATTATAAAATTAAAAATATGGAACCGTAATTTATGGAATAAAGAGCAATTATGATCTAAAGGGTATCAAAATTTACAAAAAAAAAAAAAAAAAAAAAAAAAAAAAAAAAGCTTAATATTTATTTTTTTACTTTTATTAAACATTTCTTTCAGCATGCGCATGCATAAAGCATACATTATGCATAGTCGAAATTAGAAAATTGCAACCAGAAAACTATTTGATTGTATTCGTGATATTTATAATGACAAGGAATTTGATTTAAATCATATCAAAGACGGAGTACACCGAGATGAAATACTACATTATAAGGCGAATAAAATAAAATCATCTGCCTGAAGATAAGGATAGTGCTGACAGATGAACTTCCAGTTCATTGTGCACCGCAACGTCCCCCCCCCTCGCGCAGAGCAGCGTGAAATTGATAAACAGATTTCGGAATGGTTGAGAAACAAAGGAGCCTTTATCCATTTTTTGCAGCAATTCCACTTTTTGTTTGATGGACATCGAAACATGCTTTCCTTTGTAGATCCAGCATCGGAAATTCTATTTGACATAATTGAAAGTTCCAACTTACTTTCATAAAATTGCTCTAAATGTCTGCAAAAAATAATAAGCCGGTTCCAATTAGAAGATTAAGGAACAATGCAATCTGCAACATTAACTTAAATAGATAATTAGATAATTTTAGCTTAGCTAATACCGTCCGTTATACATTAAACACGCATGCGTAAACGTATTATGCGCATGCGTAAAGGTATTACGCACATGCGTCAATGCAAATTTGCGTTGACGCATGTGCAGAAAGTTTGTAGCTTTGAGGTCCACATTAACGACTTTTGACTGTATAAGAAATATATCTCTTAGGTTAAATATTTCAATAAAGAAAGGAGATTAGCAACAAAGAAGTAGATTTGATATTTTTCTCCTTTTGTCTCTTCTGATTAAAGCCCCCTTCTTTTAAACATTTTTCACAATGAACCAAGACCAGAAAACTATGTAAATTGTCTTGAAATCACTATCACATACTTTTTTGAATAAAAAATAAAGATTTTTGTCACTAGAAACAATGAAATTTTATATAATAACAACTTTTTTTTAATTTTAATTAATAGCTATCAAATACAAGAAATTATGCTTTTACTTCAATTTCAGAAAAGAAACTAATTTTATATAATATGGATAACTGCATAAGAAAACAAGCCTTACTGTACTGTGGTCCGGGATACCCATAATAAGCAGGAGGTGGATAAGTGAACTGTGGCAGAAATGTTACAGATGAATCACCTGAAATATTTTAAAGAAAATATTAATGTTTCATGGTAATAAATGCACATATAAACACACAGAGAAATGAGTAATTGTAAGTCCAGCAGAATGCATGATAATGTTGATATGCAGGGGCACCAAAACCAGAAGACATGCATTTTAATAAATTACAAAGCAATACTGATACCCTAATAGCTATTTAACATGCAAGAGTGCAACATGCAAACAATGCTTGCACATGTGTGTGTGGTATTTTTTAAAGCAATGCTTTTAAAAGTGCACAAAATACACCACAGAAAGTGAAGTAAATTTGCTTTTTTTCATAAAACAAGATTTCAAATAATTATAAGTAAGAGTTGTCAGCAGTAAAATCAGATAACTATGTTTAGATTGTCTACAAAAATATTACTTTTCCTTTTTTAATGCTACTGAATTTTTACAATTGCATTTTTATATGAAAAACCTTTTGAAAGAGGGACTATATACACAGTATAAAATATATGCACATAACATAAATAAAAAAATTTTGTAAAACCTAATTCTGATATCCTTTTCTCATAGCAAACAGTCAGAAAACATGCAAGAAAATGTGAGTTAAGACATGCTTCAAAATGCAAGCTTAAAAAATAGTATATTTTAATGCCCCAGGTTTGCCATCTACAACATGATCATGCAACTTACTCAACATTTTAAATCCATCCATATTTTCCCTTTCAAGTCATAGTTCTAGAAGTTGAACATTCTGGAAGTTAAATACCCACTTATCAAAATAACACTACGACCAAACATTGTACGCAAAAACATCTACGTGCAGAATGCTGAAACAACAGGTCTTGTCATTATATATAAATATTTTCAAGAACATCTCTACTTATAAGATGGAAATTACCATCTAATTTTCTATAAATAAGCAATACAAATATAATATAATAAAACACATTCCGTGGAGAATAAGCCATGAAACCAAACAAGATAGTATGGAGTCAACCAAAAAGTTACGGTTTGTTTTAACAGTTCTTTACCAATTAACATAAGATTTATTTTATTTATTTATTTATATTTTTTGCAAGTTTAAAGCATTTTAAATTACAAACATTTGCAAAATAAATGAAACAAAGAAAATTCGATTTTTTTTTTTTAAATTTACATTCAGTCAGCATGACCCAAACTGGTAACTTATCTTAGCAGTATTTGAATGGAAATCACAATTAATCCTGTCATATTTTAATCATATTTAGCATTTTCTTACATTCAGATCAGTTGAAAAAACTCAAAGTTCATAAGAATCAATCAATCTACTAAAGAAATGTAGATATTCTGTTTGCATATTACGTAATCAAACCAGTTTTTATACTGAAACTGCAGGGATGCTAGCAGAAATCTCTTATAAAAAATGTACCTTAAAAAGATATAGGCACATACCTTACATATTTTAGAATTCTTTATTTCCAATTATCTAGTTACCAAGATAGCCTGCTTTTTGCTTTGATAAAAAACTAAAATTAAATGTTCTGAATTATCAATATTTGTTATTCCATTCTGACAATACAAAACATTTGCACATTAAAAAAATACTTAACTTTATTAATACTTAACAACTTACATGAAACTGGAAATTATATATTTTTATAGCCTTATATGTTAAGTGGCAAGGCTGCCAACTGGGTTAGCAAAAATTTGGATATGATCTTAGCACACAAGATTTCAGTTACTATAAGATCATTGCCAGCATTACAGAAGTTCCCATGGAATGCTCCATTTGAAAGATATCTGCTGACAATCATCAATACCATCATCATTGAAATTTATTACGATAAACCACATCTGTGAAATAATTTTGAATTCTAATACATATACTTCTTGCCATTAAATGTAAACAAATTTCAAACTCATTAAAATATTTTACCTTGAAACTGATATTTATTCAGTGAGAGTAAATGATGAATTATCTTTTAATGAGATAGCGGTGTTTAAAGCTTGCAACGATGCCATTTCATTTTTTTAATTATCAGAAATGAAACTTAAAGGAATTCCATACTCTTCAGTTACAATCTTGCTATTCTAACCTTCTTCATATTTATGTATGATTCCACATTGTTTAATTATCATTGAAGATTATACTTTTTAAGATATTTTTTTTTTTAAACCAATAGCTTTCATGCAATCCAACTAAACCAAATGATTTGTTTAGCTAAGGCCATTCTAAACAGATAATATGAACAAAGTTAAAAATGGTCAATGTATATCCAATCACAACTTTTCATTGATAAAATATACAGCATACACATACTAAGGAGAGATGAAACTTTTTAAAATATCTCAATTTTTAGTCCACACACAAAAACTAAAAAAAGCTTGTAAAAATCCAAAATAAGGAAAAGCGACAGAAAAAAATGAGACAGAAAAAATATTATAAGCAGCTGAAATGCACTAAATCAACCACTGAAATAGATTAAAACGAATAGTGATACATTTCAAGATGTACAAAAAAGCATTTGTAAATTCTAACAGATCTGTAGACTTAATGGCAATTTCAAGTACAAAAATCACTATGCACCAGAGGGTTCGTACACATTTCTGCACACCAAAATTAAGTACTTTTAAGGAGCTATGAGTATATCAGACATGATAAATTCAATTAAAAATATTATCTATTCTTGAATTTCATTTTTGTAATACCATCCTACAAATAAAATAGATCCCTAAGTAGTATGCATTACTACTAAACATGAATTAATTAACATAATTGTTAATAAGTTTGAGAATAAAGTAAACTTTATGCAATTTATCAAGTAGCATTAAATATTTTACACTTATAATAGTTGGACATATTTGAAAGAAGATAAGTGACATTTACGTTTCACTAACAGTCAGCATAATTCATAACAAAAGAGTGAATGTTTTCACCGCTACTGCTTGTCTAGAGAGGCCTGCTTATTAGAACAAACCTAAAAGGCCTAATGTAGGCACAGTTGGCAAGTGTTGAAAGTTAGTCAGGCTCTGTTTGATGCAGTTAGTGTCGTAGCTTCATGTAGAGTTCCATGGGTTGTAACCCAGTTATCCAATAAGCCATTAAAGCACCAGAGGTGATAAGAGTTGTTTTGTATTATTTTAAGTTACACTAGATGCTCTTTGCAATGAAAGGCAATAACTCGCTTTAATATGTAGAGATAATTTTAAGGGTAAGCAGTTAGTTAAAAGTAATTAAATTAGGTAGTTAGATAACCTTAGTCATTATGGTTTTACATAGCCACTATTAAATTTTATTTTTTTAACAACATTTGTTAAAAAGCTCTATTAAAATCAAAATCTAATAAAATTTCACAGTTTAAAATTCATGTAATTTATGACATTGATCCTTAAACAATATTAGGATAATTATGTTTTGTAGCTTTTAATGAGTAACATTACATTTAAAGTTACCTGTTACAAAACATTTATGTTTTGTTTATTGGAACCTTGTTACAACAACACTCAACAAAATATTTATCTATCATTTTAATTTGAAGCCTTCCCAAACATTATGGCTAGTTTATATCGATTTCCTTCTCTTTAAGCATCTTTCCTAACAATTAGAGGATTTGTCTCAATATGCAAACAAATGCTCTCTCTAGTTTCTGCATGATTTATCTTCTAACTTATCAACCTCTCAACAATGAGGGTTTACTTGATCTGGTAAAAGTTAAATAGTCCAAAACGTCCGACAGACATGAAGCAAATTATCGCTATATCTGAAAATAACTACAATATTAGACGAAGGTTTAAATAAGCCTCTTATTTAAAAAGAACTTAGAACATAGAGCCATGTTCTGATGCTACCAAAATCAATTACAACTCATGATGACGTAATTAAACACGAACAGTCAAATTCAAACTAAAAATGTGAACTAGTGGTCAAAGATCATACAATTTAATTTAAATTTAATCTGGCTCAGTAACTCTTATCATATGAGGAAACAGAAATGGGAAATTATAGTAAAGGCTGAAATCCTAAACAATTGGGTAATTTACATAATAACTGCACATATCTTTGAAGAATAATTTTCTTTATGTATTTAGTTTCTTACTTCAACACCTTTCCTTTTAGAATTTTTGGATTGAATTAAGGATTTCTGTTATTTCAAAAAACACTAAATGCATTTAGAATGTATAGAAAAGTGGCTAATTCTATTTCTTTAGTAATATGAACATTCAAAAGAAATATGAAATATATATGTTAAAGGCTGGTTACAGAGCTTGTGCGGCAGAATTTTTAGAATTTAGTGACACCCTGAACAACAAAATCTAGAAATGGCAATACTTTTAGAATTGAGAGCAGGCATTGGAAGCAGAATTTAGGATCCTCAGAGATTGCATCAGGTGGCAAAATGCCTAGTGCCAGCTCTGTGTATGATGCATTAAGATATATTAGGTGAATCTTTTAAATTATAAATTTTCAATTTCTTTATTAATAAAAAAATCCCTTTCTATAATGCCTGCCTGTGGGATAAGATTAGAAGCATATTTGATAATTTCCATAATTCATCTCAAACTCTCTGTAAAATACATCCATTATGTGTTGATACCATGGAGATACTTTTCATTCTGCCACATATTTCTTGAATCTTCTATAATAGTAGGTCTATAAATTTTGCCTTGAAATCCTCCTAAACTTTCCAAGCCACGATGTCTAAAATCCTAAAGAAAAATTATCCCTACTAATTTGTAACAGCAAAAAGGCAGAAATATTTTGGGAATATATAGGTTTGGAGGCAACTTCAAGTCTGTCTCCTGCCTGCTCAACAGTCATTCACTTATGCATTTTAAAAAAAATTGTTTGGATTAATTTTAATTTGCTAAATTAGTGAATTTATTTTCATGGATTGTTTTTGCACTTGATTTGCTTATGCTTCTGAATTTAAATGATACTGCAGATTAGTTCGAGAATTAAATCTTTTAAATCTTTTATGTGTTTACACATTTTTTTTTTTTTTTTTTTTTTGCTTTAAATTTGCTTTTTTAAATTTTAGCTTTAAATT